TTCTGTGGGATTTTGCCGGACAGTCCGTTTATTATGTGACACATCCCCTCTTTCTCACCGCAAGAGCAATTTACTTTCTTGTTTATGACCTCAGCCAAAATCCAGACGAAAAGGCTAAGCCTGTTGTGAAGCAGGGAGTGTACAAAAAGTTCCAAGACAGTTTCAACCTAAAAACTAACTTGGATTACCTAGATTTCTGGATGAATTCATTGGCGTCCTTAGCCTTTCAACACCCAAGCCATGGGCAGGATATAGAGCCTGGATCTGATGTTCAACTTCCAGTCGTTTTTTTAGTCTGCACCCACGCTGATAAACCTTATCATGACAGAGACCCATTTGAAATTGCGAACGAAGTTTATGGGACATTGAAAGAGAGACCCTACAGTGCCCATTTGTTTGATGTGTATTGTGTGGATAATACAAAGTCAGGCAGTGAGTCTGAGTGTCAAGAAGTCAAGCGCTTAAGACAGGATGTTCTTTCTGTTTCTAAGGAATTGCCGCATGTCAAAGAAGTAATTCCTGTTAAGTGGCTAAAGTACGAAAAGACACTCCAATGCATGAAAAAAGAAGGGCAGAAGTGGATTTCACTTGCTACAGCAAAGTGTGTTGCATGTAATCAATGCGAAATCGAGAGTAAAGATGAGTTCAAGACGCTGCTCAACTTTCTGCATGACCTAAGAATCTTGATCCATTTTGATGACACAGCGGAACTGAAAGATATGGTGGTCCTGGATACTCAGTGGTTGATAGACGTTTTCAAGAAGGTGATAACTGTAAAACCCTACCACTGGAAAGAAAAGCCATTTGTGGACCTATGGTGTAGGCTCGAAAAGGAAGGAATCTTAGAGGAAAAGCTTTTAGAACATGTCTGGAAACCTTTGATTCTCCACAAAGAAACATCTGAAAGCTTAATTGCAATAATGGAAAGATTTAGTCTGCTATGTTCATGGCCCTTACCTGATGTCTCTGGCGACAAACAATACCTGGTACCTTCAATGCTGAAGTCACATCCACCAGAGGCTGTCACGAAGTTGGTGTCAACTGCACATATGCCTTCTCTTGTTCTCAAATTTGAATCAGGTAAAGTGCCTTCTGGCTTATTTCCCCGACTAGTGCTGCAGTTTTTTCTTTGGGCAAAAGAAAGGTTTTGGAGCTCAGTAAAACCAAAGATGTACCACAGCTTTGTCAGGTTTTTTCTGTCAAAAGATGCTGGAGACTCTGTGATTCTTCTTTGTCACTCGTGTTACATTGAGGTTGTCTATCATCGTGGGAGTGTAGACGACGGATTAGGAAATGCTTTACGGTACCAGAGGTCGATGGATATCTGTTATAAAGAACATGAATTAACGTGTGTCCGTGTCATCTGTAGACAGTTTGGTTTGATTCTGGAGTGCATGCGCAATCAGTTCTGCTGGTTGAACAGTATGAGATACACAATGGGTATCATCTGCCCGGTTTGCCGTGAACAAAGTGCCAATGACTACTGCGATAAGCATCAGAGTCTAGATTGCAAAGAAGAGGACTGCCTTCACTTTTGGTCCCAGTCTGATTTGTTTGCTTCTAAGGGGGAAGTCTTTTGCGACAAATCGGTGTGTGCGCATAATAGTAGATTCAGCCCTGAGCGCTGGGCTCCTTGGTTTCCACCTCA